ACCTTGATAAACCGAAATTAATGATTCTTTTCGAATTTGTAAAAGTATCAATTGTATTATATGCACAAAAACAATCAATTTCCACCTATTTATTGTGAATTATATGTATTTCCCCAACCAACTTAAAGAGTTAAGACGAAATAAGTGATGTGATGATGATCATCACCAAATGCATTTATGCATATTTATTATTAGTATTAATATATAGGATAGATACAAGTTGTAGGGAGCGGTTACTTTAGTTTAGATAATAGAGTACTATTTATTTGTCCGAGAAATAAATAAGTTTTGTGTAATATATTAATTAATATGATAATAAATAAATACGCAGTGTATGAAGTATTTGAGCGGATGGCGTACTATTACTTTAGTTTAGATAATAGAGTACTATTTATTTGTCCGAGAAATAAATAAGTTTTGTGTAATATATTAATTAATATGATAATAAATAAATACGCAGTGTATGAAGTATTTGAGCGGATGGCGTACTATGGGATATCCTCGAATCTGTTTATTTATTTGACCAAAAAACTGCATGAAGGCACAGTTGAGTCGGCCAATAATGTGACGAATTGGGTAGGGACTGTTTGGATGACTCCTGTTTTGGGAGCTTATGTTGCCGATGCCGTTTTGGGACGATATTGGACTTTCCTCCTTGCATCAGCTATCTATCTTTCGGTATGTAAAAACTTCTCCTTTTTTTGTTTTATTAAATAAATATCAATCTATCATCTCCAATGCTTTAATGTTGTAATAAAACAAATTTTGACGAATGTCAATAAATTAAATGGATTGTGAACCATGTAGGAAAAATAAAAATTATCTCAAATGCACAATTTAGTCTAACTACAATATTATCTACTTACTAAATTATTAAAATTTTATAATATGTAGCAAGAAAATTAATTAAATAATTTAGAATTGGTAAGAATAATTCTCTTTCTTATCTTTATTGGCTATAGCTAGAGTGTGGAGGGGAATGTAGATGAACCACATTATTCTTTACATTATACACGTTAGTTATGTTCACATCATTACAACATTTGTAATCACATTGTGCATTAGAGGATAAAAAGTTGTGACATTGCAAAGCATTGAAGATGTTCTAATAATCATATCAGCTTTAATCAGTGTTCATCCACTTATATAATTTTAACTACATATGACTTTCAATTATTTATTTCTTACTTTTATATCAAATCAATTTTAATCATATTATTTTAATACAAACTTAAATTTTACTAATAAATAATCATAATAACTTTTTTTTTTAAAAAAAAAAAAAAGACTCAATTAAATATCAATATATTTGTAAACAACCAAGTCCTTACACTACAAAAAAATTGTTATATTCCAAAGCAAAATCTTACGATAAGATATTTCAATAGAAATTCCAACGGATATTCCAATGGTATAGCTTCCGTTGGAATGAGTTTCCATTGAAATTTTAGATGGAATTTGATGATTCCAACGACTATTTTTTCAACGATTTTTTACCGTTGGAATATGCAATTTCCGTTGGAATTTTTATCCACCTCCGTTGAAAAATCTACCGCTGAAATCGCCAAAGTCCAATAGAAAACTCAATCCAACAGAATATTTTTGTTGGAAATGCCATTGCAATTCCATTAGAATATATTTGTAATGGAATTTTATCATTTTGTTGTAGTGTTAGCCACTCAGCAGATAGCAAACTGAATTAGATGATAGCGAATAGTTAATTAAATTAATTGATCATTTAACTAGTTGATTCTTTGGATGTAATTATTTGATAAATAATTAATAAATATACCTATTTAATATGTCAAAAGGATCGATAATAACCTATATTCCAAAATGACCATTTCTTTTTTCTTTTTCTTTTATTTTTCCCCCCAAAAAGTTCATTCAAATTGATACTTACCAATTATTGAAGTTAGAGTTTGTGATATGTCAAACCTCTAATTTGATTCTAAATTAAAATTTAGTATTCAAAAAGTTGATTCAAACAAATAATTGAATTAGAGGGTCTTACCTATCAGACCTTTAATTTGGCTGGAAATGTTGACATACCGTTGAGCATATTAACCTACATACACTTTTTTTTAAGGGTCTTCCCATTTTCCTATTTTTAAAACTAGTCTTAGTTTTAGTAGGTTTTTCGAGGGGAAAAAAAAAAAACAGAACAAGTAAAAGTAATTCTCATTTGTTAAAAATTTCATTCATACTCAATTTTGTACTTGGCCAGTTGGCCTGCAAAAATCTTGGACAACGTACACATGCGACCTGCTATTAATTTGCTTGTAGTAGATGACGCCGCAATGACACACAAGATAAGAATTGTTAAATAAAACGAGTAGTTTGTGAGCTCGGCTTGGCTCGTGAAAGCTCGAGTTTGGTTCTAATCGTTTGATACATGAGCTAAGCTTGAGCTCACTTAAAGCTCGTTTTGTTAACGAGCAAGACTGGACTCAGCTCAATAATGCTTGAAAAAAGATTTCTTACATAATTTTCTGTAGATCGACTCGTCTCGTTAATATTGACAAACAAGCTGAGCTCGAGCTCTCGATTTTCCGCTCGTTTACTTAACAGGTCGAGTCGAGTTCGACTCATTTACAAGTCTATGTACAGTATACATTAAATGGTATTTTTCTATTTTATAGAATTCCTATCCAACTATGACTACGACCAAGTTTATCAGTGATCTACCTTAATGGGTCACCAACAATACGCAAAAAAAAGGATGATTTTTTTATTAAAAAAAATGTCAAACTTCGTATTTTTTCATAAATAGAGACCATATTTGATATATTTAAAAATATAATTGCAAATTCTCACTTTTACCATTTAAAACAAAAATCCCACCGTATCAATTTTATCATTTTGTTTAATTGTATGGTAAAGTATTATTTGTTTGAAATAATAACGCTTTAATTATAGATTTTTTTATTAATTTGTCAGAACCAAAAAATATAATAAAAATCAATTGTAGATAATATTTTATAAATAAATAAACAAAAATTAAATAAATATTTTAAATTGAATAAGTTGGATTATAAAATTAAGTTGTGTAAGTAGAGTAATATTTAATTATTAAAGTGAGTTGATTTGGATTATGGTGCTGAAAAAGTAGATGGAATCGGTCAAATGAACTTTGTTGGACCGTCCAACTAGATTTATTGTCGTATCTTTAAGCAATATGTTTAAATAATTATAAATCAGTCTTGCTCATTAAATGCCAGAGCTAGAAACACGGAGGCTTTGTATTTTTTAGCATACCACACCTAACCTTAAATTTAAGCTATGATATAGTTTATGAAGTGTTTTTGAAAAGAATTAAATATAGTCCCGTCTCCAGTCACTTGCCTAATTGGTGTTCTATTTTTTATCTTGCCCAATATAAATTACATGTTATTTTTAAAATAACTATCTTTCCTATTTAGGTATAGATTAAATAAAATATTCATATATTTTGTCTTTACATTTATATATGCTTTTCATAGAGTAAATAAAATTGAGTGTAAGTATAATTGGTTGACGAAAATAAGTAGTGACGCTTAAAATATTTTGGTTAGTACGAACACACTTTTGTATATAACTAAAAATATTATTCTTAAATATTACAAATATCACTCAAAATTTGAGATAAAACTACTGATACAACTTTCACGAACGTTTTTATTAAATTTATGAATGAACAATAAAAGATTGGTGGAAAATATAAATCATATTTAAAAGATGTCCTCTTTTAGTAACTATTTTTTTAGTAGAAGTTTTCTTTAATTTATTTAGCAAATGCTTAACTTTTTTTAAAAAAAAAAAAATTCATTTGTTCAAGTATTGAATATTGACGGTAGTAATATTGATATAGCAATTTCAATTTATCTATTAATTTGTTTGAGTAAGATTTTGAGTTGTATTAAAATATAATAATTAAATTTGATTTGATATAAAAGTATAAGGGATGTGATTGAAATTGGTGGGAAGTTAATTATGTTAATGAATGAATAATTAATTAAAATTGATATAATATATAAGAATAATTAATTAATATTATGTACTTAAATCAAAATTGAAAATAATTGAATTAGATTCTATATTAAAAAATTATATTTGACCACATAATGTGAACTATGAGATTACTTTAGGGGATTAGGTTGACAATAAAGTCACATGTCGCTCTCATTGATCGTAGTTAATTGCCTCGAAGAAATAAATGATTTCACAATACGTACAATAATTTGCTCATTAAATATACATTAATCATCACATGTACCATGTTGGGTACCATGTTAGGTTTAGGTAATTGGTTGGTAACGCTAATTATCTTACATCCAATCAACTATTGATGTGAATTTTCATGTCAAATTTCCAATTTCGATGTAACAAATTTTCGAAAACTCACTCGTTTCAGTACCGATAAATGAAATTCATTTTATTCAAAAGAGATTCAATGCAACTTTAGCCACGTTTATCATACGTTAAAAAAAAAATAACATTGCATTGAAACAATTTTGCGCAATGGTTAAAAGTAGCAACTAGCAAATACGTAACAAAATACGTTCCCAAAAATTGATCTCTATATTTGATGATGATATGTATAACAGGGAATGTGTCTTCTAACTCTGTCCGTGTCAATACACCCTCTAAAACCACCTTCATGCTCGGACCCAAGTGGGGCCCACTGCGAGAAGCCCACCACACTCCAACTAGCCGTGTTCTTCGGCGCACTCTACACGTTGGCACTGGGCACGGGCGGCACAAAGCCCAACATCTCAACTATCGGCGCTGACCAGTTTGACGAGTTCGAGCCGAGCGAGAAAGCCCACAAGCTCTCCTTCTTCAACTGGTGGATGTTCAGCATCTTCTTCGGCACCCTCTTCGCAAACACGGTCCTCGTCTACATACAAGACAACGTTGGCTGGACGCTCGGTTACGGCCTCCCGGCCATCGGCCTCGCCATTTCGATCGCCATATTCTTGTCCGGCACCCCATTCTACAGGTATTGAGAGACTATCTTGTGATATTCTTATATGATAAATATGACAATTGTATCTTGTTGTTGATATGGTATAGATTAGATTGTATCAATTAGGTGATATAGTATATCCTGTGATTAGGTTCTTTGATTTCTTTCCTTTCTTTTATCCCTTTTGGCTTCTATATATACCTTGTAAGGAAAAATTGCATATTTAGTCTTGCTGGTTTAACGCTATAGCATTTTTAGTTCCAAAATTCCAACTTTTCGCCTTTGATAGTATTTGCTGCAATTCCAAATGACTGAAATTGCAATAAAATTTAAAATTACAGAACATAAATTGCTAATTAAAAATCATTGGGATGGATTTTTTATTACAAATTTAAATCTTGTAATTTAAAATTTTGTTGAAATTTTAGTTCTCAAATTACTGAAATTGCGTTGAATTTTTAAATAACATGACCAAATAGCAAAATGTTCAGATCTTAGTACTAAAAACGCCACTGGATCAAACAAATAGGACTAAAATTGCAATTTTGCCTACCTCGTTATTCTCTTTGAGTTAATACATCAATTCAAGCTTAACAACATTCTCTCCACTTTTACAACAGGCACAAGGTCCCCACGGGCAGCCCTTTCACCAAGATGGCGAAAGTCATCGTGGCCGCCCTCCGAAAATCGAGCGCGCCCGTCCCCGACGACCCCAAAAACCTCCACGAGCTCGATCCCGAGTTTTACGAGCAGAAAGGGAAATACCGAATCGAATCCACGAACACGCTGAAGTTCCTCAACAAAGCGTGCGTGCGCACGGGCCCCACCGACCCGTGGACGCTCTGCCCCGTCACTCAAGTCGAGGAGACGAAGCAGATGCTCCGCATGATCCCTGTTTTGATCGTGACTTTCGTCCCGAGCACGATGGTGGCCCAAATCGGTACCCTGTTCGTGAAGCAGGGTACCACCCTCAGGCGCGACATCGGCGGGGGGTTCAGTATACCCCCCGCCAGCCTGTCGGCCTTCGTCACAATATCGATGCTCGTGTGCGTAGTCCTATACGATCGCTACTTAGTGACGATCTTTCGAAAATGGACGAAAAACCCGAGAGGCATCACATTACTGCAGAGGATGGGGATCGGAATGAGCTTCCACATCGTCATCATGACGGTCGCGTCGTTAACCGAGAGGTTTCGACTCGGGGCCGCGAGGTCTAACGGGTTAGTCGAGAGCGGAGGTCAAGTGCCGCTCTCGATTTTTATTTTGTTGCCGCAGTTTGTGTTGATGGGGGCGGCGGATGCGTTTTTGGAAGTGGCGAAGATCGAGTTCTTTTACGATCAGGCGCCGGAGAGTATGAAGAGTTTGGGGACGGCGTACTCTATGGTTACGCTTGGGGCCGGGAATTTTATTAGTAGCTTTTTGCTTTCGACGGTGTCGAGGATTACGAGAGGGGAGGGTGGTGGTGATGAAGGGTGGATAAGGAATAATCTTAATGCGTCGCACTTGGATTATTACTACGCGTTCTTTGCGGTGCTCAACTTGTTGAATTTTATGCTGTTTTTGGTGGTGGTGAGGTTTTATGTTTATAAGGCGGAGGTTTCAGATTCGATGAGGGTTCTTAGGGAGGAGTTGGAAGCTTCTAGAGGAACAACGGCGGCCTAGCTGGTGATTGTAGGGAACGTACGTGTGCCAGGGTGTATGGTTATTCTACTTGAAACAATGGGACTGATTTGCATTTTTACGTCGTGTAAGAAAAGAAAAGAAAAGAAAAGATATGTTACAGAATGTAATCTGCAGATATATAAATACTCATTAATTCAGTTGACAATGAAAATTGAACACTTGGCAGCAAATGCTTTCGGAGACTATTATTGATCACAAACAGGTAACTGACTTAAGAGCCAAGATGGAAGTATAAGACCAAATTGTAATATTATCCTTTATGAACAAGATGTTGTCTTTTCATGTAGCTTATGCTATAGTTTTGCATTTCTCTTTCTAAACATGAGAAAGTGTAGTTTGGGGATTAGAAATCATTTCATATGAATCTGTTTTTCTAAACATGAGAAAGTGTAGCAGGTACTCCAGCGGCGGCCAGATGCCATTTCTGTACAGCTAATTCTTCTGAGCCAATTCTTCATGCCTCATGCGCTTGGGTATTTGTTGTTGTGCCATTGACATTTTGATCTTCTAGCATATGTACACAAAACAAATGATTAAGCATGTCAACCAAAAATCTAAGACTGCTATGAGTAAAAGTCACATCGCGAGCATGAGATGAAATCTGAATCACTTCTCTTTAGTAAGTGTTTCATTTTAATTATATATTATATTAGTATATTGCAAAGTAGAATAATATTAAAAGACTACACATTTAACACATAAAAAAGACATTTATGTTATCAAATTAGTCATAATATTGAAAGATAACATAGAACTATAAGAGAAATAATAATACATTATAAACCATGAAAAATAACACACAAATACAAAAGAAAAAAAAAAAACACCATATATTAGGAAACTCAATAGCATACATGTATTTGGTAATCTCCCCAATAGACACCATTTACTCCCAAATTATTGAAGAAGTGCTCAAATGTGTCGGTTGGAAATGGATCCAATTGAGCTTGTTGAGTTATTTTCTTTAAAATTCGTGTCATTTCACCTTCAGTATACTTGAGAACTTTAAGATTTTTTATGGAACTAAAAAATTTTCAAATAGAATTTTATTTTCATCTCTTACTCCCAAATTATTGAAGAAGTGCTCAAATGTGTCGGTTGGAAATGGATTCAATTGAGCTTGTTGAGTTCTTTTCTATAAAATTCGTGTCTTTTCACCTTCAGTATACTCGAGAACTTTAAGATTTTTTATGGAACTAAAAAATTTTCAAATAGAATTTTATTTTCATCTCTCAGTTTAGAGCGTGATTTGTTTTGCATCTCCATTAATAGATATTTCATTAGTTTGTTTGTTTGTTTTTTGCTCCTCAAGGAGTTTATTGTTTGCTTCCTACATGTGTTGATGATCGATACTGAATCATCAATTATCTTACTCTTCAGTTTGACTTTCTTCACCCCAATAGGTCTTCAGATGAAGGGATCACCAGCAAATTGATCCGAGTCGTCTAAGTTTAGAGAAAATGAAGAAATGCTCAGGGATGCATGTCGGGCAGATTCATGAATTGGATTTTTTGACTCCGAAAATGACCGAATAGTTTTTTCTTGCTCCTTGTAGCGCCATCTTTAAGTTTTTTAAAGTTTTTAATAATACCTCAAACATGATCGTATATTCCATCCGGATTTGAATTTAGAATCTTGCGTGAACAACACTTTTTCTTTGAGCATCTAAAATTTGTTGTAAGCAATTAACCATAACTAATATAAATAATAAATTAGATAAGTTAAAAATACAATAAGAATTCAATACTCATTGTATCTTCATTTGAAGCACCAGAAGCATATCTTCTACTACTTTTATGCATGCATGGAGTATCTGCTTTCTCGATTGTTTGAATTCGTGCTTGCGTAGATCTCTTGGTAGGGACCTCCCAATGCTCAAATTTTTCTTTGCTGAAAGCTTCTTTTATATGGGACCAAAATCGATCAGATGATTGGTATACCTCAATCACTGGGTCCTGAGAATTTTCGTAGAAACTCGATATAAAAGAATATCTTCATTGTGGTTAGGAAGATAAACGGATCGACATTTTTATAAGAAGTTAGATGCGATAAAATTTTAGTGTATAGAATGAAAATATTGGGATGTAGCCACTACAATACCATATCTTATTTTATAGTGAAAGAACCTCTCCTCTCTCCATGTTTTGACCCGAAATGATAGGTTCTCACACTTCGTAATGTTCTGACTAAAAAATGACCACTCTCTGCAAACGTTCTTACTCTTCTTCATGTTCTAATCTGAAATGACCACTCTCTGCAAAGGTTCTCACACTTCTCCATGGTCTGACCTGAAAACGACCACCCTTAGCAAAGGTTCTCACACTTCTCCGTTTTCTAGCCCGAAAATGACCACTCTCTACAAAGACCCTCAAGTCTCTTAGGAAATTTTTATCGCAACCGATTTCAGTCGATCTTTTTTTTCGATTTCGGTTGGGATTTTGCACATCTATATTCTCACTACATAATGCACAATACTGATAAATTAAATGCATATTATTGCATGTGTAAATGCACAATATTACATCTGTAAATGGAAGATAGCGTAATAGAGTGTAATCTCATTACACTATTGTACATATTTAGTATTTAATATTTTATTTATTGTTTTATACTATTTTGTATAAAATATAAAAAAAAAATACCAGTTCAAAATAAAATAACCAAAAATTTTAAAGTAAAAAAGCGATGACCGAGCCGATTTCGTAGACGGAACATTTTTAATGTGCATATACATATTCTACATTGTGCATTTCAACTAACATTAATGTGTACATTTCAACTGACATTAATGTGTATTTATTAGATTATTAATTAATTGAAATTTATCTAATTAATATATTGTAAATATATTAAAATATTCAAAATTACATCAACTTCCCTGTTAATTATCCAATTTTCAGTTCAAATCCCCCTCCCCCCAAATTTGAATCTCGTCTGTCGTATACTACAAAATTGTCATCGCCGTCTCCCGCCTCAAATTGGACTCATCGTCGCAGTGTAACTGATTGCCACCGCCGTTGGAGCACTTGTTATGGTGGTCGAGGTGGTTAGAGTCGGTGGACCTAGGGTTCAGTCGGTGAGCGTGCGGCGAAATTGGGAGTGAGAATAGAGGGTCGTAGCAGGTCGGGGTAGTGGATAGGGAGATGCAGTGGCGGTTTTGGTCTGTTTAGTGGGCGACCGCGGTGGAGGTGATGGTGATGCCGGCGGTGGAGTTGGTGGACGATCAGGGGAAGACGATCTCGTCCGCAGAGGTTGGAGAGAAGGTGGCCGTGGAAGAAGATCTCGTCCGTTGGGGAAAGATTCACGGTGGCGGCATGCGACAACGTGAGACGGAGGCTGTGAGGCGGCAGAAGTTGGCCGACGAAGAAAGAGTTGAAATCGAGCATGTGTGTTTGGTCTGATTTTTTTGTACATGTGTGTATTATGTGTGAGAGATAGAGGAAAGTGAATGGGTGGGGTGAGGTGGGGCCCACTTGTTGGTATGTGATTGGGAATTGTATATAGAGCTGTCCAAACAGCCCGCGGCCCGCCCTGCCCCGGCCCGCCCCGCAAAAGGGGCGGGTTGGGCCATCATTTTCAAGGCCCGCCAGGGAGTGGGCCTACGTGGGCTAGCCCGCGCGGCCGCAAGATGAGGTGGGGCGAGGTGGGCTAACCCACGGGCCGACCATTTTAATTAAAAAATAAATAAATACATATTTATATAAATTGGATGACCAAGATTAAGTAAAATCCTGATTTTAAATCAGAACGGTTGAATTGTTCTCTTAAATAGTAGGTCAGATTTAAAACACACACATCTCTAACCCTCGCCTTACCCGCTGCAAAAGAAATATTCTTCTCATCTCAATTCGAGATTCACCCTCTCCCGTTGCCTCTCACCGACCTCCGCCGACGCCTCCACCTTCAACCTCGGTCGGCGTCGGCCTTGAAGAGCAGCTTCCTGCCTCTGCCTCCAGCCTCCGCCGGACCACCTCTAGCCTCCGCCGTCGAGACCTTATGCCCTATTCTGCTCTCGGTCTCCATCAACTAAAGCTCAAAGCTCGAAGTTTTCGGTATCCGTCATGCTGTTTCTCTCGTCTCTAATTCTTGAGTCTATTCCCGGTCTCAGCCTCGCAGATATTTTGCTCACCAACTTCGGTCCTGAAATGTTGCTGAAAACTGAAAAGTGAAATGTACTGTATGTATTGTAATGTTGCTAAAAATTTTAATTTTGTGGCTTAAAAGTAATGTGATATGGGATATTATATACCTAGAGTAATAAAACGGGTCACTATGCCGGTCGTACAAGTCTAATATCGGAATTGCCGTGCTGATCGAGCAATAGCAGGCCGAAAGATAGTGGTCAAATATTGTGGCAGATCTGGTCGAAGATCGACCTACTGAATGGGAGGTTATCAGATCGACCACCCCGTGAGTGAGAAGCGATCGGGAGCGTGGCCCAGACGTAGGGAAGCATGACCGCGCGTCGCGACGCGGCAAATTATAATTTATATTTTTCCTTGACTAACCTCTATTAACTAGTAGTAGCGACAAGTAAGGGTCGATCCCACGAGTAGTGTGAATTAAATAAATAATAAAATTTAAACAATGCAATAAAATAAAAATAAAATAGAATAAATAAAGAGAAAATCTAGTTCACGGTTCCGTGTACACCCTCGACCGACTCGTCTAATCAACTTTGGTATCAAATCTCACTATCTTATAGAATTAATAGCCCTAGGTAACGACACGGACTGCTACCCGAATTTTTTCTTATTTTTAATTTAATCGCGAGACGCTCTACGATTAAACCTGACTTCATGTACAGTCCAAAAAAACGTTTTTAAGATTTAATACAATTAGCCGCTTTACGAATTAGAAAAATAGGCTAGACTAAGTAGTGAACTCAACTGCATTCATTCACTTAAATAGGCCATGTTATCCCCGGTAGTTACCGTCTTCCGGTAGCCTCTAATGAACTAAACACCACAACAATTACAGGTTGAAGGTCTAATTCAGCTATAGATATGAAAAGTCTAATCTAGGTGATCAATCTAAATAAGACTCAACACATCATGGTTAATTATTCAAAATAACACAAACAATTCCAAAGAGATATTGAAATTATTAACCATATAAATTAATTAAACATCATCAAGTACGTAGGATTCGACTTCCCCGGAACTAGAAATAAAAACCTAGCCTAACATAATAAATAATAAAAGAAAGAGAATAGAATTATTACCTTTCGTGTAAGGGTGCGGCCTCCCTCCGCGATTGATCCGACTTTCCCGTATTTGTCCTCTGCCTGTGTCTGATTTTCCCTTCTTTTCCTATTCTCTGTTTGTTTCTCCTGCCCTGCATGAGGGCTCCCATGTTGGCATGAATAAACTTCTACAGGCTGCGTGAATGCGGCTTATTTTTCTTTTCTTTTCGTGAATGTCACACAAAATAAATCCCTCTGTTCTTAAATCCAAGACTCCTCAACAAATAATGTGCTTAAGACTTCAATTATTTTCTCCCTCGGGTCAAAGTCTCTCTATGACCATAATACACACTTCAAATTCATTTTGGGCTACCAATTCTTCCTTGGCCCAATTAGTTGAAATTAAGTTTTGGTACTTCAATCACCACATATTCCAGCCCACATTAATCCATTGTGGTCATTCATTCTCTAGTATTGGGTCGCCTGCAAAAATAATTAAATATACTGGAAATAAATCATAAAAATATCAAAGCAAATAAATCCATTTAAATAATAAATAAGTCAAAATATATAAGCGTGTGAATAAATTAAGCATATAAAAATACGCTAATAAATATATAGAATACACACTTTTTCCGACCAATCAAATCTCCCCAAACTTAAACCATTGCTTGTCTCCAAACAACTTAGATCTAAAAGCACGTAGATGGACATAAACAAGTACGTGGAACTTTACTCAGGACCTCACAATTCTCACATAAGTGCATAGCTCAAACAACTCGAAATAATTTATTCGGGCTCAAGATGAAATCATTCTAGGAACTCAAGCCCATCAAGTATCAATCCAAGAGACCACCATAGTTTGTCGATCTCTATAACGAATTTATCGATCAATGCAACTAATGAAACTCCTCTCTTCGCTAACAAATCTAGTTCCTTTCCGTTTCTAGCCGAAATCTAAACGTCTCATTCTCCATTTTTTTTTAAGTAGGGAACGGCAGCTCCGTCACAACCCGGGGGTTTTAGCCTTTCGTGATTGTCTAAATTACAAGAATTATTGGATTTATACACTAGAGCCCCCACGGGTTGGCAGCTGTTGCAGCCCATAACGTTTTTTTTTTTTCTTTCTTTCTTTCTTTTTCCTGTGCCAAACGGCTTTTCAACTCCACTAACTATTCTTCCATCCTCATTATTCTTTTTTTTAGACTATGAGACATAGAAACCCTAACTTTCAACTTCAAGTCCCTAAACTTAATCAACATTGATTAAGGCAATCACAAGCACATCTCAACAATACAAATCGCCTCAAAACCAACTCACCACAAATGAATCACAAAAATATCAATCATCATGCTTTTGTTCCCAAAATAAAAACAACTTAAGTTATTTAACCGAATATAATCAACTCAAGTTATTTTAACTAGCACAATAAATTCAAACTGACTCTCATATCATCATCGCAAAATTCTACATGTAATCTCAAGCTCACACAAGACAAACAAATATCATGCAATCAATTTAAGACTCAAACTCTAAGGGGCAAAAATACAATGACATAATAAATCATGAATGCTCACCAAGAAACCACCTCCCCAAACATAAAGTTTGCATATATCATCAACACTCAAATAAACACAAAAGAACAAAAACGGAGGTAAAAGAAACGAGTTCACCTTAGTCAATGTAGAGGAAGTCGACCAAACCACGCACGCCATTGGGTTGCCTCCAAACAAGTGCCTCTTTTTATTGTCGTTAGCCCGACTTATTGCTCCATTTTCTCAAAAGGTCCATGGCGGCTTCCGAGGTGGCCTCAAGGGAGGCATCAATCTCACCACGCCATGTTCTTCGAAATTCCCACTTTCCGGTGTTGGGTGCTTCACCGGATCTTTCCTTCATGACGCTAATTCCTCAAGAATATGTAGCAACCCGCGCTCGATCACGGTCACCGCCTCAACAAAATCCCACTCACGCCTTGTATTTTGCTCGATTGTCTCAAGAGAAGGTATATCAAGGCCCAAGACATGATTCAGTGCATACTTACTTAGTACCCACTTCATATTACAACACATAAGACCCGGTTCAGCTTCTATCGGCACAAGAGCAGAAAGAACGGTACGCTTTTTGGCTACAACAGGTCAAGTATGGGGTATCCCCATATTCTGCAGCTTGGTTCTCTTTTTCACTCTCATTCTTCTCGATATTCGTGATTTTCTCGTTCTCCGGCTCGTGTGTGCACTCTTCAAATTCATCCAGGTCCTCTCTGTACGAATGGATGACGCTCGAACTCATTGGACTCGTTTTCAACCGATACACTAGTCGGTCCATTTGTTCCGCCAATTGGCCAATTTTGGCCTTGTAAATTTCTGATGCGCAGTTCATGGTTCTTGATGCTCGCGTCAACATTTTGCTGAAAGTTAAGAGTGTTAGCCGTCAACTCCTTCATCATATCCTCAAGCGACGAACCAGGATCTTTATCAACAAATGGCTCAGAATACTCTTGTTGAAATCTCAACGTGTGAGCCTCTAGTGCCTTCACCATATCCTCAAGCGACGGGCTAGGATCTCGCGCAATTGGTGGCTCGGAGTACCCATGGAAAGAGTTTGATTGCTCTCTCAAACGGTATTCATACTCATCGGAATAGAAGTAGTCTTATTTGTACCTTTGCCAACCACTAGATCCTCTTAAGTCTGGATCTCCAATCAACGGGCCTCTTATCTCCCTCTCATACTGGTAAGGTGCACGGTGGAATAAAAGTCGTGATAATAGGCTGCCATCTCATAAAGTTGCTCAAAGCTTGCAAAAATCGCCCAAAAATTAGTCAATCCCGCGAGTATGAGGGCGAACTATTCTGTCCAGCAGAGTATGGAGGCACCTAATATTCTGCAAGAAAACAAAAACAAAGAAAAAGAGGGGTAAAAGATGATAAAAATAAAATCCTAAAAAAAATAAAAATAAAACTCAATTAGTACTCAAAAATCACANTTGACTTAATCACTAAGATCCTAAATAAATAAATAAAATCTAAACAATGCAATAAAATAAAAATAAAATAGAATAAGTAAAGAGAAAATCTAGTTCACGGTTCCGTCTACACTCTCGACCGACTCGTCTAATCAACTTTGGTATCAAATCTCACTATCCGACACGGTCTGCTACCCGAATTTTTTCTTATTTTTAATTTAATCGCGAGACGCTCTACGATTAAACCTGACTTCATGTACAGTCCAGAAAAACGTTTTTAAGATTTAATACAATTAGCCGCTTTACGAATTAGAAAAATAGGCTAGACTAAGTAGTGAACTCAACCGCATTCATTCACTTAAATAGGCCGTGTTATCCCCGGTAGTTACCGTCTTCCGGTAGCCTCTAATGAACTAAACACCACAACAATTACAGATTGAAGGTCTAATTCAGCTATAGATATGAAAAGCCTAATCTAGATGATCAATCTAAATAAGACTCAACACATCATGGTTAATTATTCAAAATAACACAAACAATTCCAAAGAGATATTGAAATTATTAACCATATAAATTAATTAAACATCATCAAGTACGTAAGGTTCGACTTCCCCGGAACTAGAAATAAAAACCTAGCCTAACATAATAAATAATAAAAGAAAGAGAATAGAATTATTCCCTTTTCGTGTGCGGGTGCGGCCTCCCTCTGTGATTGATCCGACTTTCCCGTATATATCCTCTGCCTGCGTCTGATTTTCCCTTCTTTCCTATTCTCTGTTTCTCTTCTCCTGGCCTGCGTGAGGGCTTGCCTGTTGGCGTGAATAAACTTCTACAGGCTGCGTGAATGCGGCGTATTTTTCTTTTCATTTCGTGAATGTCCCGC